CCCCAAAACCCCAAAACCCCAAAACCCCGTTTATGGAAGTTACTATTAATTTATGAAAATAAGACTATTAAAGATTAAGATTATTGTTATAATTTTAATTAGAATCCAACCTCTATATAAGATCTATACACGTAATAATATTTCTCGTGGAAAGGGAATACGTGGATCTGCAAAGTATGATAAAAGTATATCTCATAAATACTACTTAAAAAAGAGTCTGAAACTTTAAACTCTCTTCATCATTAAGAAACATACATCAGTTACTAGCAGTTTCAATGTTATCCCAGTTACCACAATTATTATATCTGCCTCGAATTTTAAGATTATTAATTTCTTAATCTCCTAAACCTTCCCCAGCATATTTATTATTAGATTCTCATTACATATCTTATTTTTTTCAATCACTAGAATCCAGCATATTTTCTATCATTTATCTTAATTTTCTAGGTTAAACTGAGGGGTCAAAGTATCCTACTACTTTTCCATTTGAGTCAACAAGGAATTTTGAAAAATTCCAAGGGATCATTCTAATATCATTTTTTTCTTTCCTCACAAGTGTAGGAGTATTAATCCTAAGATATTTATATATATCATGTGCGTTCTCCCCGTTCACATCAACTTTGTCAAATAAAGGGAATTCAACGTTGAATTTTGTTTGCAAAAATGTCTTAATCTCTTGATTAGTTTTTGGCTCCTACTTCATAAATTAGTTGCAGGGAAATGCCAAAATTTCAAAGCCTTTTTCTCTATATGTTTAGTGCAGCTTGACAAGCTGCCTATAGAGCTTCTTGGTTAATAATCATTTTGATGCCACGTTTATTACTAGAATACATCTCTTTCCCTCTAATAGATCCCCAATTCTTTCATGATAATTTCCATCAATGTCAAACACAGGGATATCATGAAACGTATTATAAAAAGTTGACAATTGTCTGTCTTTGCCTTTTCTGTAAAAGAGTCTTGCAATTGAAGCACCCATTTAATAATTAATATTTGATTAATTGAGATTTATTTCATCTTTAGTTTCAATTATCAGCTGAGCTGACAAATATTACAAACGGGGTTTTGGGGTTTTGGGGAGATCGGAAGAGCACACGTCT